TCAAATAGTCTACTCGTGCTCGCTATTAAACCTCACTCATGAAGGAGTGTAATTTGGGCGAAAGGTTTGTTACCACCTGTGGAGCTGTACCTCAACGTCAGTCATTACCTTCAGGAGAGCAAGAAAAAAGCCACCAATGAAAAAGAAGAAAACTTGTCTGGGTGGTGTGGGGGGGGGCCTAAATGTAAGCAGTACTCAAAGCTAACTAACCCCATCTGAAATAGCTTGTGTGATTGAGATCACTAACTGTCTGCATTAATGTGAAAAGCAACGTGATCCAAGAATTTCATGAAGATAAAATTGTGGATAACATTGCTAATCAAGCCCACTCTTATCACAAACCTACTCTTATCACAAGCCCCTTAAACGGATTACTGCACGAACCCACCATATGAGGGTAATTTTATCTGGGTTGCTTTCCTGAATTAAGGAATTTGGTTTAAATTATTCATATATATTTGGAACAGACTACAGTTAGACTCAGGCTCACAACTACCATAAATGGAAGTTTACTGCATAAGGGGTAGTGATAATTATTGTACTGCTTCACCAAAAATCCAGTTGGTGGGGACACTATCCAGTATAGCACTAGGCCGTTCAGTAGGTCTCAGGGTTGAGTCCCAGTTAGTGCTGAATTAGACGATTTCATTTGCCCCCATTGCCTTATTAACTCAGAAAAAGAGCCAGGGTTCCTACTCCTGATTGCTATCCAGATTTCACTGCTGGATGGTTGTGTTTTGATATTGGATGAGGCCAGAATCAGATCCAGCTGTAATGTGATGAGACATTATGTGCGACCTACATTATATTTAGTTCCTTTAATTCCTCACATATTAACTGTAAAGGTAATATATAATGTATCACAATCACAACTGGCCCAGTTAAGATTAAATGATAAATTTCATATTTTAGATGCAGTAACTGCAATGCGATTTGTTGTGCTGCAAATTGACTCCTTTTCTGGAATAGACTGGTAGCAAAAACAATTGATTTTCTATTGATTAACTCCTTCAAAAATAACTAGGTGTTTGGTTGGAAACAGCATTGAAGGTTATGGGGAGAGATAATACAGTGGGGTAACTTACATTTGTATAGCGCACTCCACGCAGGATAGCGTCTCAGAGTGCTTAACAGTGGGGGAGCCTGACTCCGAGCTGGGGTGGGGGAGCTGGCCGTAAGCACAGTTGAAGAGGAAGGTTTTCTGGTGGGACTTGAAAAAGGAGAGAGAGAACAAGGTGGAGGGATTGAGGGAGAGTGTTCCAGAGATTCAAGGCGTATTGTGCAACCTCCAATGCTGGAGTGGAGGGTGCAGAGGGCGAGCTCAAGGAAATGCAATGGTTTATGTGCTACTATGGCCTGTTTGGGGGTAAATGTTGTTGACATAAAGGTGCAGTGAATAATTATATAGCGTAAATGTAGAAGATTAATATTCTGGACTGTTTTGCTTTATTAATTTGGGGATCAGGGAGTATCTACTCATGTGTTTCCCTCAGGAGATGGAATCGCTAGGGTGGAGTCAACAATAATGTAGCTTGTATGTGGTTTAAGACTGAACAGGACTGATGAGCTGACTGAAGCTTTTTCTTATTGCATTCTCTCTTGTGAATAGCCTACTATGAAAAATTGTTATTGTGCCCTCTGGAGAAGAAATGTATTTGGAGCAAATGTTTCATCAGTCCCAGCATGATTTTCTGCTAAATAGTTTAACAAAGTGCTTCTTAACATTGAAAAATATTTGTAAAACAGAACCAACATCACACAAAACAATCCGATAAAATTATTGTGCATCCTATGTTTGCGAGCTGTGTTGCAAATTCGTCTTACAAAACAACTTCTGAGTAGGATTTCTCAAACGGATAGGTTGCCTCACAGCAACCCACCCTTCTCCAAGGTAGGTATTTAGAAATACTGGTATTTAAATTATAACATACTTCCTCGTTTGTCACGGTTTTCTCACATGCCTCCTAGCTAAGTTGACTCTGTAAGTGCTCAGTTTCTAACTAGGATCTAAGAAAACAATGATTATTTTTTTCAACCTTTGCGAATTTTTATTCAGAACTGATAACAGCAGCTTTTTTTTAAAACTTACGCAACACTGTTCAAGGGGGGAAAAAACTCTTTGTTTTACAGAGACGAGTGAATCACTGAGCAAAATAGGAAGCGGATTACTGGCAGGACGTAGTGAAACAACCTGTGTTTAAATAGCGACCTTCACGCAGAGCAGAGTAAGAGCGCTCAAAGAGGGAGGTCTTCAAGTCAGGGAAATAGGGCACAAAACGGGGATTTGGAAAGAGAGAGAGTCCGACAATGCAAATTGTAGGTAGTCCAACAAAAGGCGAGATCCCAATAATATTCTTCAAGAGAAAATAGAAATAGATTTTGATGATGTGGTGACAAAAGATTTTAAAGTTTATTTAGCAATAATTCTGAATGGCTTGACTGGCGCAGAATGGCCAAGTTTGCCCGGAAAATACAGTCACGCCACTTCACGGCACATTCTGTGAAGCACTTTGAGACGTCTATACAACGTGAAAAGGCGTCGAGATATCAAATGTAAGGATTCTTCTTATTATTATTAATGATTATTATTATTATAGGTTATCAGTCTCCGTGGACGGAGTGTTAAATCTCCTCGCGTTGCATCGAATGCAGCGTCACCTTTACGTGTAAAGTCACAGGCTTGCGTGGCACTGAATTCGAAACTTTTTTTGGAGATAAAAAAAATAAGAGCTTCTGGGCAAATATATAAAAAAATATATATATACATCGGGAAAGAAAAATGTCAAAAACTCAAAAAAAGCATCAGCGGAGTTGGGTTGCATTTGGACTGGAGAGTCGGTTGGTATGGAATGAGGTCTCTTGTCTGACCCGAGTGTGGAGCAGATACTCAGACTGGGCGAAACCCAGTATTTTCGCCCGCAAATATGCGGTCAATTCACTTTACCGCCTATTCCTGGAGTCCTGTAGCTCAGTGGTTAGAGCACTCGCTTTGCAAGTGAGAGACCTGAGTTCAATTCCAGGCAGAGGGCGAAACCTTGGGCAAGTTTCCTTACTCCACATAGAGCCTAATAATAATCCCTCCAAAGCCAAAAACAATAATTAAATTGGTCATTTTCAATCTACGACTGTTTGTGGGACATTGCTGTGCGCAATTGGCTGCCGCGTTCGCCCACAAATATACAGTCAATTCACTTTACAGTGTGTTCTGTGAAGCGCTTTGGGACGTCCTCCCGACGTGAAAAGCGCTATATCAAATGCAAGGATTATTATTATTATTATTATTCCGTGAAGCGCCTTGAGACGTCGAGAAGACGTGAAAAAGCGCTGTGTCAGATGCGAGGATTATTATTAGTATTTTCTATTTACTATTATATAACCCAGAGTTGCACTACATTGAAACTCCGGCTCTCAGCGTCGGATCAGAGTCGGGTTTGCAGCTGAAAAATGCGGAAAGGGACCAGACCCCCAGAGCAGTGGGAGGGGGAGAGTGGCGGAGAGAGTGGGGGAGGGGGAGAGAGTGGGGGGAGGGGGAGAGAGTGGGGAGGGGGAGTGGGAGAGAGTGGGGGGAGGGGAGAGAGTGGGGGGAGGGGGAGAGAGTGGGGGGAGGGGGAGAGAGTGGGGGGAGGGGTAGAGAGTGGGGGGGGGAAGAGAGAGTGGGGGGGAGGGAGTGGGAGAGAGTGGGAGGGGAGTGGGGAGGGAGGGGGAGAGAGTGGGGAGGGGAGAGAGTGGGGAGGGAGGGGAGAGAGAGTGGGGAGGGAGTGGGGAGAGAGTGGGGGGAGAGAGTGGGGGGGGGAGTGGGGAGGGAGGGGAGAGAGTGGGAGGGAGTGGGGGGGAGAGAGTGGAGGGGGAGAGAGAGTGGGAGGGAGTGGGAGGGAGAGAGTGGGAGGGGGAGAGAGTGGGAGGGAGTGGGGGAGGGAGAGAGAGAGTGGGAGGGAGTGGGGGAGGGAGTGGGAGGGGGAGAGAGAGTGGGAGGGAGTGGGGGAGGAGAGTGGGAGGGAGTGGGGGGGAGTGGGGGAGGGGGAGAGAGTGGGGGAGTGGGGGAGAGAGTGGGAGGGAGTGGGAGGGGGAGAGAGTGGGAGGGAGTGGGGGAGAGAGAGTGGGAGGGAGTGGGAGGGGGAGAGAGAGTGGGAGGGAGTGGGGGGGAGGGGAGGGGAGGGGGGAGGGAGGGGGGGGAGTGGGAGGGGGAGAGAGTGGGAGGGAGTGGGGGGAGAGAGAGTGGGAGGGAGTGGGGGGAGAGAGAGAGCGAGGGAGTGGGGGAGGGAGTGGGAGGGGGAGAGAGAGTGGGAGTGGAGGGGGAGAGAGAGTGGGAGGAGTGGGAGGGGAGAGAGAGTGGGAGGGAGGGGGAGGGAGGGGAGAGAGAGTGGGAGAGAGGGGGAGGGAGTGGGAGAGGGAGAGAGAGTGGGAGAGAGAGTGGGAGTGGGAGTGGGAGAGAGAGTGGGAGAGAGTGGGAGGGAGTGGGGAGGGAGTGGGAGGGGAGAGAGAGTGGGAGGGAGAGTGGGAGGGAGTGGGAGAGAGTGGGAGGGGGAGAGAGAGTGGGAGGGAGTGGGGGGAGGAGTGGGGGGAGAGTGAGTGGGAGGGAGTGGGAGAGAGAGAGAGTGAGTGGGAGTGGGAGAGAGAGTGGGAGTGGGAGAGAGAGTGGGAGAGAGTGGGAGGGGGAGAGAGAGTGGGAGTGGGGGAGGGAGTGGGAGTGGAAGGGAGTGGGAGGGGGAGAGAGGGAGTGGGAGGGAGTGGGAGGGGGAGAGAGAGTGGGAGTGGGGAGAGAGTGGGAGGGAGTGGGGGGAGTGGGAGGGGGAGAGAGGGAGTGGGAGGGAGTGGGGGAGAGAGGTCACATGTGGCCAATGGGCGCCAGCGCTGTGCTTTTGGTTGGGACGGTATAGGAGCAGCGGCGGGAGTGTGAGAGACACAGACAGAGACCCTCACACAGACCCTCACACAGACACACAGAGCGACTTGACCCCCCGGGAGGGAGGGCGGGAGGGAGACCGACCGAGAGCCCTCTCCCGGGCCGGGGAGTCCCCCCTCCGCCCGGAGTGAGAGCCGCAGGACCCCCGGAGTCAGTCGGGGGCTGAGCGGGAAGATGCCGAATAAAAACAAGAAGGTGAGGGAGAGGGGAGGGAGGGGGTCACCTGAGGCCCCGGGGGGGGTGGGGGGGCAGTTGGGAAGTTGTCCCGCTCGGGCCCGGGGCCCGGGGGGTGGGGGGCCCGGGAGACCCTGGAGGTGAGGGGTCCCGGGGGTGGGTGGGGGTGAGGGGGGCAGTCGGCCTGTAGCGCCGCCCCCCTCCCCCCCCACCCACACACCGCGGGTGTAACTATACACAGTAATGCCCCCCTCCCCCTCCCCCTCCCCTCAGGAACCCGCTAAACCCGGCAAAAGTGGCAGAGGCGGCGGGAAGGACGGACAAGACACCCCCGAGCCTGAGGTACTGGGGGGGTACACGGGGTTTGTGTGGTGTGTGCTGTGTGGGGGGGGGGGGGCTGTTTATGTTGTGTGTGTGTGTGTGTGTATGTATGTTGGGGGGTGGGGTTTGTGGTGTGTTGTATGGTTGGTGTGTGCGTGTGTGTATGTTATCGAGATTGTGTGCGCGGGCGATGCGCGGGTGTGCGTGTATGGTGTGCGCGGGCGGGCGTGTATGGTGTGCACGGGCGGGCGTGTATGGTGTGCGTGTATGGTGTGCACGGGCGGGCGTGTATGGTGTGCGTGTATGGTGTGCACGGGCGGGCGTGTATGGTGTGCGTGTATGGTGTGCACGGGCGGGCGTGTATGGTGTGCACGGCGGGCGTGTATGGTGTGCACGGGCGGGCGTGTATGGTGTGCGTGTATGGTGTGCGCGGGCGGGCGTGTATGGTGTGCACGGGTGGGCGTGTATGGTGTGCGTGTATGGTGTGCACGGGTGGGCGTGTATGGTGTGCGTGTATGGTGTGCGCGGGCGGGCGTGTATGGTGTGCACGGGCGGGCGTGTATGGTGTGCGTGTATGGTGTGCGCGGGCGGGCGTGTATGGTGTGCACGGGCGGGCGTGTATGGTGTGCACGGGCGGGCGTGTATGGTGTGCGTGTATGGTGTGCGCGGGTGGGCGTGTATGGTGTGCACGGGTGGGCGTGTATGGTGTGCGTGTATGGTGTGCATGGGCGGGCGTGTATGGTGTGCGTGTATGGTGTGCGCGGGCGGGCGTGTATGGTGTGCGTGTATGGTGTGCGCGGGCGGGCGTGTATGGTGTGCGTGTATGGTGTGCACGGGCGGGCGTGTATGGTGTGCGTGTATGGTGTGCGTGTATGGTGTGCGTGTATGGTGTGCGCGGGCGGGCGTGTATGGTGTGCGCAGGCGGGCGTGTATGGTGCGTGTATGGTGTGCGCGGGCGGGCGTGTATGGTGCGTGTATGTTCCGTGTGTATGTTGCGTGTGCGAGAGTGCTCACTACGGTAGTTTTGAATATCGTGAAAGGATGAACGGATGAATGAACGGCGCGGCTTCTGTGAGCCTTTTTGATTCCATCAGCGTTTGCGCGTCTGGTTGGTCAGTAAGTGAGGACGACTGCGCTGTGAAACCAAACCCCAGTCAAATCCAAGATCTAAGGTTGGAGTTGGAACTTCAGCTCCGAAGAAATAGCCCGATATGAAACTTAATCAGGGATATTAATGTTCCCGTAAATGGACCACTAGTTTTGCAGCTGAACAGGGTTTCAGAAGTTGCCCAAACTAATATCTCAAAGAATTAAGTATTTCTGGGAGTGGGGCGGGTTTGGAGTGCTCGGGGTAGGAATAATAACGATCCCTGCGCTTGATATTGCGCCTTATTGCGTTGTTGAAACGTCCCAAAGCGCTTCGCAGATATGCTGTGAAGTGAATTGACTGTATATTTTGTGGTCGAAGATAATTATACTGGTGGCCAATCCCAAATGTAAAACAAAATGCAAAACGAAGAACAATTTTATTGAAGTAGCACGAGTACTGGTGTTCAGAATCTGTGAAATATGGCTGCAAGTGGTATATTTATTCTGTGACTGATGGGGAAGATGCCTATTACACAATTACTAATTACCAAAACGGTAATAGTGCAGCGAAGCCCATTAAAATGCCCATACGATAACCTTGTTGACCATTGAAGATGTTTTTTTGCAATGAAAATTACTTTATGGATTATGCAGGCTTAATTAATTCCTTGCATTCCTTAGTTACCATCATTGGCAGTTAAAATGGAGATGAATATACTTTTGGGGGATTTATTTTGTTTTGCTTTATCCCTTTGTTCTCAGACAAGTGACTCATGATTGCTATGTATAGTTCCACATGTGATAGGTCTCCAATATACTGCCTTCACATGTGAGTTTGGAAAGTAAGTGTTAGCAGACTGTTCAAACGTGGGTGGTGTTACTGCTGAGTCCAATGCTGTTTTGAAGTGATTTTCACAGCTGCAGCTAAAATACTGGCTGATTTTTGCTTTCTCTTCATAAGCTATTGCCACTGATTTAATGCAGACCAGGAACTAATGTAAAACCTTCCTGGACCGGAGTACATTTGTGTTTAGCACGGAGCAGTCAGGAGAGCAAGATGTCCACAGTTTTCATTCAGCGTACTAATGATTTGTTCTTTAAATTGTGCTCATCAAATTCATTAGCTGTGAACATGACGGGGTGCCACTGTTGGAAATTAATAACAATTCCCCAGTAGGATTGAGGAATGAAAATTGTCTGTTGTACTCAGTGCAGTTCATTGGAGCAGCAATGCGCTCTCACGGATGTGGACTTGCGGAGTTCAAGATCCATGCAGCTGTAGGAGGTACAAAGTGGATGCAAGGTGTTTCCCTGTGGAATTGAAAGGTGAAGTGGCCACTCTGGGAAGCTTACACACCTCCCCAAATGCAAGTTTCGGACACCATTGATGTAGGTCTTAAAAAAAAAACAGTTCCAGCATAGGAGCAGATATGGAACAGAAAGAGGACATTCATTGAGCTTGTTCCACCAGTTTATTAGACCTTGGCACATCTTTTAATCCTGATGCCCTGACCTTTTGCTGCACATTTAATATCCATATGACCCCAGTAGCTATCTCTCTTTTGAGCGTCTGTTTTGATTAGTGTCACCTCTGCTGGATGTATACAAATGTAGTTGCTACGACGTTCTGTGGCAGAGCATTCCATGTTTTCACAATCATCTGTTTGATAACCTGCTTCCTTTGTTCAGTTCTAAATGTATTTAATTCTAATTTTAAGACTGTGCCTCTTGTAATGGATCTCTCCCTCCATCCTCTATTGTGCCCGTCAGATGAAACATTAAACTGAGGTCACGTCTTGTTCTTGTAAACTCGACCATGCTTACGGTCACCACCCCCCCCCCCCCGCCCCCGACTCGGAGTCAGGCTCTGCCACTGTTAAGCGCTCTGAGACGTCGCATTGCATAGAGGGCGCTATATAAGTGCGAGTTGTTGTTCAAGTGGATGTTGTTAAAAGTCCTTTGGCAATATTATTCAATAAGACAAGTTTCTCCTGGTGACCTGGCCAACAAATCCCTCAAATAAAATTGTCATTCATTCCATGACCGTTTGCAGGTCTTTGGTGTCTACAAATTGGTTGCCGTGTTCACCCACAATAATAGACTGTCACACAGCTGCAATAAAATCCTGTGAAGTGCTTTGATACATCTCGTGTTGAGGCACCATATCAATGGAAGGATTATTCCCACGGGAGGAAAGAGACATCCTCTATCTAACCTGTCAATTCCAGTATTTTAAATACTTCTCTCAAACCACCCCGTAAATTGCTCTGCTTCACGGACTATAAACCGGCTGCCTATCATAGCTAATCCCCTTCACTTCAGGTATTAATCTAGTCTGAGCTTCTTTGCATAACTTGATCACAGATGATGCAAAGAAGCCATGTGGAACAGAAGATCCCTGTTCTTATTTGGAATTCAGTAAAGAGTAATGATGGGTGCATGACATTTTTATTGCTTGTATTATTTTGCCTTTTAAGAATACAGTATCTCAATAAGGTACAAAATCAGTGTCTCTAAATACTAAATGCACTTGTTCAAGTGTTAATTTTTCCAGCAAGGTGTTAGTATTAATACACTAAATATAGTTCACACTGGGAGAAAATATAAATGGGTAATTAAGGAAGTTTCACTCTGCAGATTGCTGTTCTGCCTGCCTGGTGTTTGTGCATGTTAAAAATATTTGTGGCTGAGTGGATCTATTCTTGCACGACACCCTTCAACAGAACAAAAATAAATCACTGTAAGGTTCATCTTTCTCATGTTAATCTGATATAACCTGTTTTTGTGCAAGAACATGAACCTCTTGTACTGAATAAATGTCAATTTTAAGACAAATGTTTTAAAAACTAATTTAGAAATTTTCTTAATTTAGCATGATATTAATTCAAATTGTAATCTGTATGCTGCCTTTATTTAATCTCTCTGTTGGACTAGTTCAAAGCTTTGTTTAGTGTCACTTGCTGAAAGGATATTTAATATAGTTGATGGTAAAGGTGTTGCATTTTAAAAATATATGTTCTGTGTCTATTTTGGCTATGGGTTGGCAAGAGCCTAGGCTTGGAGACCCCAAGCCTCTTCCCAACCCATACCCAAAATTGTGTCGGGGTACTGCTGGAGTTTTACTAGCTAAAACCACGTAGCTTGACATTGAGAGAGAGAGGACTGTCCGGCAAGCTTCCTTCCCACTGTTTGTCCAGATAGGACCACCTTACCCATTAGCCTTTAGTTTGCAGGGTTAACAAGAAGGCCCTATTACAGGCCATTGTTACACAGTTCAGTTTAGTGGTAAGCTTCATACACAAGTGTGCAAATCCAGAAGAACTCTTGGCATCTAGCAACCACTGGAAATGCTTGAGTGCTTGCCAGTTTCCAGCATGTATTGATTATAGGAAGTAACATCAATGGCAATCTGACAATCCAGAAGCACGGAACAGTGGCTATTTTTATAGCTCTCTGTTATAACACAATGATTTTATGGAACCAAAGCATTGCTATTGCGTCAGCCAATAAGTGTACGACTGTTTTGCTGGCTGGAACGTGTGCGTGCGAGTGCGTGAGTGTGAAAGGTTAAATAGCACCATTGGAAACCGTCTGAGAAGCAGTGTGCTTTTCTGTTCTTTTAGCCAAATATCCAAAGCAATCAGTAAATCCATAATCGCTTACTGTTAGTAACAAAACTCAGCAAACGCTACTTAACTGCCATTGCTCTAACAACTGCATTTCCACTTGATCAAGTAATAGAAGTTAAGTAGTGAATAGATTGACTTCTATTCTGGAGACTATAATGAACTTCAGAACTATTTGAAACTGACTAGACGTGTACTGTATATAAAAAATAATTTTGAAAGTTGTGTTTATCAATTTGACCGATACTGCTGCTTTACAATGTGCTTGTTTTAGTCCTTCAGTGAAATCTAATAAGACACCAATTGACATCTGTAGAATCAATACTAATTTGCATGGCTTGGTTTTACTGGAATCCTCACATGAACCTAATTCAGACATGCTGAAAGCTCGATCCAGAAGCTGCCCTAATGGCTCTGTTTAAAATCACTTTAGTAATATTATCGTCTGAATGAATCCTAGGTCTGTGGTCTTTTCTTCCTCTTTTATAGCCTAAATAAACATTATCCTGGTCTGATTTTCTTTGTTGGAACCTCACTATTCAAAGTATATTTTTAGATTTGTGGTGAATTTAGAAAAATTGTATAGTTTTACTGTTAATGTAAATATTAAAATCAATATTGAAACACGATAAAACGATTAGTGACTTTATACAAAGCAGCCTTACCTAAGACAGCAAAAGGTGCAGCTTTTAAAGTCTACATAGTAAAGTAAACTTTTAATTTGATGAATACTTTGGTTTATCTTTAGCAGGTTAAAGAGATAAGACTTTGCCTTTAAACTTCAAATCATCATTCAAGTAGCTGCGTTAATCGCCATTTCTGATTCATATTAAACTTTTTTTCAGACGAACAAGAGGTCCAACAACAGTACCCCTCCTACAACACAGTTAACAAAGATAAAGTTTTCTAGTCCAACAACAATAGTGAAGAAAGAAAAACGCCAGAGTTCGTCCAGGTTCAATGTCAGTAACAACAGGGAACTTCAAAAACTGCCACCTTTGAAAGGTAATACTGTATTTCTATTCAGAAATGTCTGTTTAACTCTTCAGCTTTTAAAAAACATTCAACAGATGCACTTTTATAGAGGTTTTCTGCATTTTTCGAACATTGTATGCTTCAGTGCACTAACATCTAAAGTACACACTTAAGCTCAGAATCTTCTGAGAGTTTTACATATAAATACATCTTCGTTTGGAATGTGGAATTCACTTTTATTAAAAAAAAGTTTAAAATTCTACTTAGGAAAGATTAGTTCTTCCAAAGTCTTGTTTTGAAGTAGATTGTTTTTATATTCACTGTACAGTGATTATTTCACTTGGCAGTGATTATTTTTGTTTCTGTCCTGTATTTTTCCCGGTAAGGTGTGTTTTTTCAAATATACACAGTCAGAAGCAGATTTGGCTTTGCTGTTGGTACTGGAAGTAGATATGGCAATGCAATTAGAGCTGGCAGCGGATATGGTGTTGCAGTGGGTGCATGAGAGCAAATCGGACATTGTAGTTGGTAAATGGGCAGTCATGTGGTGCTGGAAGCAGATATACGGTTGTTATTAGCCTAAGAAGTTATATAATGCTCAGTTAAGATGCATTTCTGTTCAAACCCAAACAGTGCAAAGCTATACTGAAGAAATTGACTTCCCCTTCACTTTTTCCGCTCTATTCTCCCTTTTCTATTCCGAACGTTTAATGTAGCTTGATAACTAATGAATTCTATTTGCCTTTTTTTCCCCCAAGTGTCTGACTTTAAACAATTTTTTTTCTACCTTTCTCCTGCCTGAGTTCAAATTTTACAAAGTTGGTGAAGGCGTATTATTTTCCAGCAAGTCAGAAGACAGAAATCTAAAGATTGGCGAAATGGCATCAATCATGTGGCTAAGTCATTCTATACCTTGTGCCCATAGCAGGAAGAAAACGATATAAAATAAATACCTGTCATAGTCCAGAATGTGCACCCTGTTTAACTCGTCGCGCGTTATGTGCCTGGGTGTATTTTATGCAATCTACACAATACATTTCTAACAAGTTTGTTTGCTGTTTGAGGGTATGCAAGCCTTGATAAAAGCTAATTGTGGAGTTTGACCTGAGGGTATAGTAGGTCATGTGATGAGTTATGTGGTATTACAGGTTTTATCTGCATAAACCCCCACAAAACAAAGGATAAGATGTATTACCCACCCAGGAGATTATGGGAGTGTTTTCTTTTTCTCTTTAAATTTTCAGATTGATATCAATCCAAGCCCTTCCACGTTCCTTAAATCTAAGTACGCCCTCATGTGGCTCTCTCCAGATTGTTTTCTTTTGCTATATATAACCTGGGCGTGTTCTCATTGAGATCTTTTAATCGTTTCTGCAGTTTCTTCACTGTATGGTGATTGTGGAATATTGCCAAATGCCTGCAAACACATAGTTACTGCATGTTACAAAAAGAATTTAAGCTTAGAGACATTTCAGGGTGTTAAGGCACTGTATCAAGTACAAGGATTATTTAAATCTACAAGCTATTCATTGCTGTAACTTTTATGGAATCATAGAATTTTACAGCACAGAAGGAGGCCATTCAGCCCATCGTGTCCTGTACCGGCTCTTTGAAAGAGCTACCAGCTAGTCCCACTCCCCCGCTCTTACCCCATAGCCTATTTGAAAGCAGAGGGGATATTCTCAATTTGTGATGGAAATGATTGTGGTCTCGTAACTTTCAATGGCGGACTAGCTTACAGGATTGTGGAATTGCGTACAGCGATAAATGGAGAAGATGTGAAATAAAATTCTGGATTTCAATGTAATGTCAGATTTGCAAGACAGAGTTCTGTTGCTCTATTGGAATATTTGTATTTAATCGGGGTGAAATTTCTTAGGTACGGTTTTTCAAATGTTATGGCTGAGTGTATGATATATTTGAACCTTTATGTGGAAGTTTTAGATTGTGCCCATTTATTTTTAGTTCAGATATTCCTCCTTCATCCAGCCTAAGCATACAACAAAATAAGCTGTCATCTGACCGTGTTTTTGTCTCTGGGAGATGGGCCGTGGGGGTGATATGAAAACCACAAGACATTACTCTTTGAATGTGAATTGTATGCACTTTGTTCCTCTTTCTCAGCCGAAAGCATATTAAACCTTCTGCTATCATGAGAGGTTCAGATGACACAAGCCCTTTGGCTCATTCGATTGTATCCTTTCATTAAAGCAGAAGTCTTTCTCCTGATGTAGCAATGCTAACGCACATCAGTTTGTGTTGTGGACAGTCTTATTCTTCATATCTATTCTATTCAAATTCATAGTTTTATGTAACTTTAAAACCTTACCATTTTATTATATTTTCTCATCACGAAGGGAAGTTAGCTTAATTTTACAATGATGCATACACCAGCTATTATTTGGCAGTTTTTTTTAAATGTAAAATCGTAGTGATTTTTGTCTCAGGAAAATTAGAATGACTGAACATTTGGTCTGGCAGTGCGTATAAGTCGTTTTCTTCTACAGAGCAACCTTGTATATAGTGTGAAACAAAGCAGCGAGTAACGTTTGTGGGTTGTCAGATCACTGCTAATGTCACTTCCTGTGCATTATACCCAATAAGAATTCCTGATGTCCCGTACAGCGTGCAGGAATTAACATTGTGGTTTCCATGCCCCAGCAATGTGTAAGGAAGGTGTATCTGCAGCCAGGAATATAGTGTATATTCAGCTATCTGGCTGTGTGTACAATATAGCACCTTCCACAGTAGACATATGCTGCAGGTGTACCCACGCTCAACTATGGATGCATTCTAATGAGCTCACTCTTCTACATATAACAAACCTGAATCCTGTGGTTATGAAGGATTTCTGATTGATTGGTTGCACCCTTCGGAATGTCTAACTTGTTGAAATTAGATTTGCAGAAATGCAGGTTTCACATCATACACGAATGATACTTCTAAGTAGGAAAAAAATAAAAATACCACCTTAAGTTGTGAGTACCTGATGGGTTTTAAGTTTGTGATTTTGGTACTTTCGCATGTGCAATTTGATTCATGGCACAAAAAGAGGGCTATAAATAGATTTCACAGAATTTTCGAATGATTCAACTCTAGGGGAGACAAATATGTATCTGGTTTTGGACCAGGAAGTCTGGTTTTAATGGACTGCACACCCAATGTTCCCCGCGTCCTGGGAATGCGCAAAGCATAGAGCATGTGCATAAAATCATATAGTTCTTTGTGCCTGATTTTGTTAAACTGGAAAGTTGGCAACCCCATTCGCAAATTCTTGTCTCAAGAAGAGAGGAAAATGGATCAGTTGACTACATGAGCCTTCGAGACATCTCAAAGCACCTTGAGACATCTCAAAGATGTGATAAGGCACTATATCAAATGCAAGGATTATTATATTAGTATTATTTCATATGCAACTGGACATTGTAGCTCATGAGAGGAAAATTGTGAGTTGATTCATTATATCAGGCCAATTCCCTCCCGAATATTTTCAGTGTTCACCACCGCAACGTTTGTAACATCAATATTTTAAATTTATTTTAGCCTTCTAAGAGATTTCTGTCTGTTGCAGAACACAAATTGTGCAGTTGACCTGATAAAGTCCTTGTGGAATTGGTGAGTCGAATGGTCATAAATGGCTTTCAGCAGTAGTGCTGTGTGTTTAATAGTCTGTCTCTGGTGATTATGGTTGATGGGAAGCGATACACTTGACAGGCACAGCAAATACTGTTTGCTGTGCTGAGGATGATGCATGCACGTAGTTAGTGTCACTTGACATCACAGTGAGGCCTCATTGTACTGTGGATATTAGAATCCATAAATGGCAATTTGCACAACACTGCTATTTTCACTCTGTGTGTGCGCATCTGGCTGGCTGATTCTGTTTGTGGAGTAAAAGAAAAAAAAGTGAATTTTGGGTCAACATGTCATGGCTAATGTTGCTTCCTGTTTACTGCGCATACAAAAAAAAGCAGGAAGTGATGTCTGTAATGACCCAATAACCTGGACAACTGCTGTTTTAATGTGACAGACCCAGAAAATGAATGGGTTGGATGCATGTATGTGCAGCGAATGGGGCCAAAAGTGCAATTATGTTATAATGACCTAATTTGCACTATAAAGAACAGGACTGCACTATAATTGGTTCCCCATCCCAATGTGTTTATAATTAATTTTTGCAGTAGACACCTACCATAAAATGTCATTTTCTTTCTAAACCTTGTGCAACAATTTTTCTCTTATTTTTGCCTTCCTCTCTCTCATTTTCTCTCTCTCTCTCTCTCTCTCTCACCCAAAGGTGCTAACTCATGTTGGGTTGTAGTTCCAAGGAACCAGCAGCCCTCTTGTAGAAGTAGTGAAAATAATAATGGTAATATCTTGCAGGTTTATACAATGTCTTTCAAATAAAATTAAATGCCTCAAAGCAAGTGAACCTTTTTTAATGTGTAAGTATAAATGGCAGTGGTAGCAAGCAACTCGACCCAAAGTTATTTTGCAGCCAACACAGGACATTCGTACAAGTGTGAATTTTTCCAGTGAAGATTACTTGAAAGCAGCCAGGAGTGGGAACCCTCCATTCCTAGCCTGGTGGCACAAAGCCTTGAATGAGAGCAGATCTGCAAGCTTTACATCTGTGGAGGTTAGACCTACACAGGATGCACTTTTACCTCCTAGACTGTTGGGAGCTCTTAGGTGTTAAAATAAATTGTGTAAGCGCTGTTCTGTAGCCCTGTTTACCACTTCTCTTTTGTTGCTGTTTCCAAATTCAATAGAGCAGAAAGGAGGATACCTCTTATAGTTCATGGCAGAACTTTGAAAAGTATGTTTGAACACAAGGTACAGTTGCAACATAATTCAGCAGAATCTTGTTTATCTGTCATAATGGAGAGACCCCTCATGGATAAATGAGATTAAATACTCAAAAGCCATGTCCTAAAGGTGTGGAAAGGGCTACGGCCTTACAGGATTATTTGAGAAACGTTCCTAATCCAGCCTTCCAGAATTATTTGAGACACTATAACGACAACAAC